TCTATCGCTAAAACGTGTATGTCTGGGGTGGCAGTCCTTTAGCATTATATACACAGCAGAAGATCTCAAGGGGAGAGGGGAAATGTGGTCATTATCTCTTCCCCATTCCTGAAACTCACCCCCTTCCCAAGAGGCTCTGTTCCAGACTGCCTGGAGCCACGCACAGCATGACTCCTTTTAGGGCATAGGAATACACTAACATTTTGTTACAGGTCCCACTGGTAGAATTATAATACTGGTCTCCCAGGGACTATGTAGGGGAGTGAGATATATTGTTTGCCATCCACTAGCCTGTAAACAGCACTGAAAATTTTATAAAAATGAAAAACAAAACACAACTTCCAACAGATTTATGTAATGTGGCTGCTACTTATGACTTCAGGATCAGATATCGGGATTACGAAGAAACAAATATGTTCAGAACAGTTAGTCTGTGCCTAGGAGCGGTTATGTGGCATCATTTTCGCTTTGATTGGACCCATCCTCATTAAATTACTAAATGAATGCATAGCATCATAATCCATTATTAGCAAATGAACATAACACAAATACGTTTTAATTAGCTCACCGAAAGATTAGAATATTTTAGTTACAGTGTAATTATTAGAGCTATGAATATGGAAAGCACACAGCAGGGAATTAAAGGGAAACCTTTTGGCAAAACATGAAGATCTATAGTTGTGAATCTTGAGGGAATTAAGCCCTTTCCTGTTGGAGTTCAAGATTATTATTATTTCTTTTTTGTGTAGAAAATATCCAAAGTACCAAGCTGTCATGAGCTCCATAGCAGGCAGAAACTTGGGCTCCAATCATGATGAGAAAAGGCCAGTCAACTCAGAAGTTTCAGCAGCAAAGGCCTTGTAAAAGCTAGACTCAGAAGCAAAGCCTGTCCACCAAAAGATCCTTGAACAGAGGTCCCAGAGACTGCACCCACTGAGATCCTCAAAGGATGAAAACATCCTCACCTGGCGGCCCCTCACTGATCACCATCACAAGTCAGGAGCCAAGAGCAGATGGAGTGCCCTTTAACTTCAACATTCTCCAAGAGATGTGAGGTCCTTCCTGAGAGGGGTTTCCCAGATCAAGATCTAGAAAAGGCCTCACTTGGACTTCAAGCCTTGTTGGAGCAAGTTGCTTACTTGGCTTTTTCCATGGCCCCAGAGTCCCATCTTTATCTGTACCTCCTTGAGTTGACCTGGTGTGTCCTGTAGGCTCCTGCTCCAGATCATGATGGAACACCAACACAAAAGGGATCCTCTTCTGGAACACAAAAAGTCACATGCAACCAAGATATTACTTAAATGTTTTAGTAAAGTACGGTTATTTAGTAAAGTATGCAAATAACAAAATTGATTGAAACACATGGCTATTTAATAATAAGTTGTTTGTAGCTCTGAGCTAAGCCTCATTTAAGAATGAGGGAGGGAAGGGGAAAATAGGTAACTGAAACTGGAGGCCATTTTTTATCATGGGGGCTGGGGTTACTACTGGTAGCAGTGGCAACCAACTCCCTCATCATTTAATCCCTCACAACATTCCTGTAATATGAGTTAGGCTAAGAGTCCAAGGTCTCCGAATGAGCTTCATGGCTGAGTGGGAATTGATTGATTGATTGATTGATTGATTGATTGAGTTTATAAACCGCCCTATACCCAGAGGTCTGAATTGAGTCCCAGACAAGAGTGGGGGCACCAAAATTTGATGCAGCTTTATACCCACATAATGTTGTTCTGATATAGAAAGTATGACCTGATTAGATCATAAAGAAGCATGAGAACAGCCTGGCCCTACCATGAGGCATAGGGAAGCAACCACCTCAGACAGCTGGTTTTCTGTGGGCAGCAAATTGCTAATTGAGTCATGTATTTGTGTTTTTACTGCCAAGGAAAGGGAGAAGTGCTTGTAGAATTTTAAAACTCTCCTTGTTTATTATGCCCTATGACTTAGAATCTAACTCTTTGATGGGTGATTTTATGTTCTGCCTTAGGCTGCAATACGTTGTGGGCTGGCTCTAGCTAAAAGCACCGCTGTGCTTAGAACTGGAAGCAGGAAAACATAGCTATGGCGGAGAAGGACAGAAAGTAGCCAAAAAACAGAGCTGTGGTGCCCAGGAGGTAGTTTGTTTTCCCAACCTAGCATGATTCTCTGTTGAATTTGATTGAAGAACTCCCAGTTAGTGTGTGCATGTATTGAGGGCATGAATTCCTTTCAGAGTAAAAGGATTACTGCTGAAGAAGGTATTCGAACAGTGACTCTAATATAATGTGCTAGACTCTCATAAAATTTACAATACTTGCTGAGTAATTAAACAGCACTGATCGCAGGAATTCTTTAATCAGCAGAGAGAGAAAGCACCATTTCATTTTGCAGCTTCATGGACATTTCTGCTAATAAGAAATTAGGATTCTGTAAACAAGCAGCTGGGTGCTGCCAATAACTGTTTTTAATGGTGAAGCTATTCTACTGCATCGCAGTTACATGAGGAATCTATTTACTTTTCCAATTTCCTCAAAATATTATGTTACATTTTTGCATATTTATGCAGTCAGTTTCTCTGAAAAAGAGTTCTCTTTGCAATGATTATGACAGGCAGCTTCAGCTGAGAATGCAAAGCAGACTTGCTAATAAAGAGCTTGAATACTTTTCTAGCCATCTGTTCTGGAACAATCTGACTTCACCATGGCCTCATTTCGTTGTGTTGTTGCTTAAGGGGACTCCACTGTAAATAATACCCAACAATTATTGAGGGTGGGTGGGTTGTATGCATCTAGCGAAGAGATCAATGTGCTAACACCATTTGTGTTTACAAGCTTAAAGATTGAAGAACTGATATGTTATATTACAGATCTTCAAACCCCAAAATATTGGGGTACAATGCTCTCCATTTTAGATTTTAAAAAGCTTCTGTATTGTGAACACAGGTACCAAAACATCAATAAATAGATGTGCATTTGTATAAAAGCCTGAAAACTATAATCCATTAAACGATTAATCTGGATTACTTGGATTTAAACCGGCTTTTATCTGCACCGTCTGAGTATGGCTTGAACTGGAATTCATTCACAGCAAACATGCATGGCAATTTTCACTCCTGAGCAAGCAGGTACATCAATTTTAAGTTAACACACTGCATTTGGGGTTGTAGTTTCTATGGGCAAAACATTCTAAGAAATAACTGAGGGTTCATCCCAGTAGCAGCTGTGAAGTCCTGGCTGGGTGCTACGATATCCAACAAGGGAATGCTAGAAACATCATTTGAATTACATATACTTCTCAAGAGGATCTCTCACATTAGCAACAACAAGCCAGCCATACAGTCTTCTTTGCTAAATCTCAATGTTGTTGTTGTTGCTCATGTAAAAAATTATGTAGAAAAGCCAACAAAATTCCAGTAAGATGCTGTAAGCTTTGCTTCACATTAAAGAAAATGATGTTTCATTTCCTTTACCTCTCTTTGGTGCTGGACTTTCTCTATAGTGTCATTTGACCCTGCAATGTTTTGCTTCCCCATAGGAACCATCTTATCCTGCATGCTCCAAACAGATCTGTGGAAGTACTTTTAGCAGTCCCCCACAGAAAAGAAGCACAGCCCATGTCAATGAAGAGTCCATTTTCAAATTCACAAATCACAATTGAGCATGAGCTTGCTTGCACAAATATTTGAAGCTGAAAGGGGTCAAATTTGAGGATCGCATATATGCTGATCTTATGTGAGAAAAAGCAGGTGCTGTTCTAATGAGGACTAAAGCAATATATTGTATTCTGTATTTCTGGGGCTGACAAAACCATGCCCTAACATTTCGGAGAAGAGGAAGCTTAATAAGAGCACTACTTGAACTCTTCAGTATTATCATGACTCAGAAAGGTTGTTTAGAATCAGAGTAGTATGTACCGTCAAATGATGGCAGTTTATTATGTGTGACATGATAAAGTCTTGATCCTTCAAAAGCTTGCATTGTTTGCTCGAGGACTACAATGGCAGATGAATTTGTTTTTGCTTTTCATAACAGCAGATGAAAAGATTTTGTTTCCTACTCTGCTAGTAGCAAAAATAATGGATGTTCTTCAAACTAATGTTCAGATGGAGCAAACACAGGGAACTGATTATTAACTTCTCAGCAGGGAAGATGCTGTTACAATCTAAAGGCTTCCAGATTTCTTTCCTTATGTGATTTGTTATGAGACATATGGTACTCTGCCTTCTTTGTGCCTATTTGTTTGTCAGATTTCAGTGGCACATCCACACTGGAGACCTTTAGGCTTGGTCTAATAATCCAAATGTATTAAGGCCAGTGCTTTTTTCTGGGGGAACACAGGGGGGCGCATACCCCTAAACATTTTGTGAATCTAAGTTTGGCCTCATTGAGGGGCAATATTTCAGTATGAGTAGGAAATTGAGAGTCCCCCTAAACATTTCTTTAGGAAAAAAAGCACTGATTAAGGCAGATATTTCTAACAACCCATGGTGGCTAAAGCACAGCTTCTAAAAAATTCAGGGAGGATTTAAAGAGGTTACTGTATCTTGGGTAAATATTTAATTCAGACCTCGTTGGCTTCATTCAGGTCTATCTTTCCCCGAGTGGGTGATAAATCAGAGCAGGCTTTGGAAGAGAGAGTAATGAAGGCCTATGGAGCAGCAGCGTTGGTCATGTCCAAAGCGGAAGAGCTGTGGCTCAATGATGAAGCATGTGCTTTGCATTCAGACAGTTCCAGGTGTTGTCAGAGAGCTGGAAAAGACTCCCATCTGAATCCCTCCCTATCAGTGTTGTTGCCAGACGGCTGCTGCCAATGAGTGTTGATAGTAACATTGATCTACTTTGGTAAATGGCAGCTTTCTATGTTGATGCATAAGCTAGCGGAGACATTCTAGGATCTGGTCACAGATCTCTCGTCTGCCTTACTATAATATTAAACACCATAACATATGACTAAAGCAAATAACAATAAATTCATCAAAATACTACAATTCAGTAAAATTACAACAATTCAGAATACCAGAAAGAGCTGCTGAGCATTCTGGCTGCGGCATCTGTCATCCCATTGATTGCCAGCGTTGATTTGACAATTCTGGCTGGCTAGGCAGGTGTCCGCTTCCTCCCTCATCATTCCATGTGTGTCCCTCCCAAAGCTCTGTGCTTGGTGGAAGAGGACAACCAGCCCAGATAGGTTGCATATGCGTGTGAATAAACCAGATATCCTAAAGACACAATAGTCTCCACTGTCCATCATTCCAAACAAACTGAACCCTAGATAAGCACCTGGTACCCCTAGAATCTTGCACAACTTGGAGATTGGGGTGGTGTGCAATATTATTATTATCAGTGTTTTTTTCTGGAGTATGCATACCCCTAAACGTTTTGTGAATCTAATGGGAGAAGAAACTAAAAATTTTACTTTCTTCTCTAGCATTGTGAATCGTCAGTTCTGTTGAATAGCACAGTGAATCGTCAGTTCCATTGCTACCCCCGATTGTGGCCTCATTTCCTGTCACAGTGTTTCCTGAGTCTCAGGCGGAAGCGAGCATTTAATGTGTGAAGTAGGAGTTGGAATCTAGCATGGTTATTGGTCAGTTTTGTATTTACCACCTCCGACGGACACCAACAGCATGCAGTGAAATCAGGAAGATGTTAGTGGACACAACCTCATGCCAATATGGATGTTACTGTGAGCTGTCAGCTGTGTAATATGAGGTAATGCATGTTCCTTGTACTTTTGTCCATTTACTGTATTTATTTTTCCCAATTTGTACTATAAAATGGTGATTTTCTTGAGTCAAAATGAGAGTACCCCTAAACATTTTTTTAGAAAAGAGCACTGATGATGATGATGATGATGATGATTGATTGGTCGTAGTGGTCCACTTGAACACACAATAAAATAATTGCCATACCTGATTTGTTGGCAAATGTAAAGGCCAACATAGAAAAAATATGTATTATTTTTTGTACGTTCATTAACGCAAAAGTGATGTGCAGTAATCAGTGATGGTTTGTTATTCCCTTCCACCATTGAGTATCTTGCCTCACAGCATTACAAGAAAAAAGAAAGACAAATTTTAAAATGTACTTTTAATCTTTCCTTCTTTAAACTTTTGGTTATCTATGGGCCCCAAATAGAATCAATGCTTTGGGCAACTTCTGAACAGCATTCAGTTTGTTTGAAGCTTTTTACCTGCCTGGCATATTTTTGGGTCTATCCTCTTGTCTTGTGCTGTCTTCTCACCCATGAAGAATGAACAAAGGAGTCTGCTGTGCTTGGAGGCCCATTGATTCTTGCCCAGAGCATCAATCCAGTGAAAGGACCCACAAGAGATCATGATCTAAAAGGGAGGAGAATAAAACAAAGAACTGAGAAAACATTTTAAAATTATATGGCTTAAGTCTATGATTTCCCTTTCTCATGAAAAATGCAGTACCACTGGAAATAGTACCTTTTTACAAAAGGGAAATAAATATCCCTCAAATAAAAGCACAGGTTTTTGAATTGTGTTTTGAAACATGGATCGAACTTTTCAAACTGGGTACCCAAAAGGAAACATGTTCAAGGAAATATTTGGCTCCAAGACTCCAGGCAGGAATTTTAGCTGTAATTGATCCCAAAGAAGCAAAACATAAAGGCAGCAGTAAGGAATTATTTACTAATAGTGGAATACAGAATGCAACCAGTTAATTTTTCAGCTTTTCCTGTGAATAGGATTTAAACTAGAGATGGAGAATCTCTGGTCTTCTAGGTTTTATTGGACCCCAATTCCCATCAGCCCCAGCCAGCATCACCAATATCCAGGGATGATGGCAGTGAAGTCCAGCAACATCTGGATGGCCACAAATTCCCCACAACTTAAATCAGATCACAGTTTGAAGATGGCTATGACAAGGAGATACAACAAGGACAATATGTATTAGCTTAATGGTACACCTGTGCTCCTAGGCAGTAGGCCTTTGATTACCAAGGAGTATGTTTGTTTGTTTGTTTGTTTGTTTGTTTGTTTGTTTGTTTTTTGTTTGTTTGTTGTTTCGTTTCTGTACCACCTTAATCTTACAAGGATCTCAAGGTGGTGTTCTCCTCCTCCCCACTTCATCATCACAACATCCCTGTGAGGTAGGTTAGGCTAAGAGATGGTAACTGGCCCAAGGTTTCATAGCTGAGTGAACCATTTTGCCATACTATTGCCTTCAAGCTATGTTGGTGGGCTATTGAGAAGCATCAGAATGGCTGCTGTGGAAAGCAAGATGTTTGACTAGATGGATCCTCAAGCTATCTAATAGGGCTCTTATATTCTATGATGTTGGTAGTAAAATGACTACAAATTGCTGCATCGGTGACCTGCCAAAATTGGCAAATCACAGTAAATGAAAATATAATGGGCTTGAAGCACAGATATTATGTGAATGCACATCACCATATACTCTGCAGCAACAGCCAAGAATAATAGCATTTTTAAAAACACAGCTATTACATTAATCCAGAAATAACACATTAAAATGCTAGGGATATTAATGTGGTGCATTGAGTTACTGAGAAAGGAACTCTCTATGAGTGATTTCAGTGTGAAGTAAGAGGAGGGATCAAGACTTCTGGGCCATAACCCAAATAAATACAAGGATAAAACAATTAATGTCTTCTGGTCATGATGATTACACACTATGGTCAGTATCAGTGCCAGTATGCCTCTGAATACTATTGTGCTCACGTCCTGTTTGTGGGCTTCCCATAGATATCTGGTTGGTCACTGTGGGGACAGAATACATGGGCCTTTGGTCTGATTTAGCAATGCAAGAAATGCCATTTATTAATGCCTATTTTCTTATAATACCATTTCTTATAATATTCTACATTAACATAGGAAACTTCCCTATACAAAGTCAAACCATGGATCCATCTAGCAGGGGGAAATCCAGAAGGCTGAGCTCAACAATGTTTCAGAGAAGTCTTTCCCAGCCCTATATGGAGATACTGAGGATTGAATCTATGGCCTTTGCATGCAATGCATGCTCTCTACCACTGAGTCATAGCCGTTCCCTAGACCTGTGGTTATTACAGTTGCAAATCTTTGTGTTTGAAGTACAAGCCAAAGCAACTGCACTCAATCCATGGCTCTGGAGAATACATGTTGTTGCTGGTTCAGGGGGAGCCAATTGCTTATGTCAAAATGGCTTTGCTCTGGTTTTTCCACCGGCTAAGATGCACTAAGGTCAGCTAAAAATATGTTGGCTTCAAGCACAGTATGACTATTCCATGTACGCAATTGATCTAATTGCTTTGTAAATGTTGCTGGGGTTACCATCTTCTTTGTTGCCTTCAGATAATGCCTGTCATTTCAGGAATTTCTTGACATCTCACATTATTACATGAACCAGCCCTAAGTAGCTGCTCTAATTATATAATGGATATAAGTGGAAGTGGGCTTGCCATTTTCTTGACTGTAGTATAAGTCACCTCCAGACTGTCACTGTTTTGTGGGAGAGATTGAAACACATACCAGAAATTGTATTAAATGGCACTGTTGTCTTGGAAAAACAAATCAACTTTTTATGCGGCTTTTTTCAGTTTAGAAAGAAACCACACCAGACACTGCTTCACTTTGTGAATGTGCTAGCAGTTTCATTGCTGCAGCAAATAATTAATGGAAAGATGTATAACCACCACGTAAACAAATCGGAACAATTCAAGTTGAATGCTCATTGTCATATAACTTATCTGAAAACAATTCAGAACAAATGCTCAGACATGGTCCAGCCTGCATCTAAGCTTTGTGCAAACCAATCAGGGTGACTGTTCAATAAACAAGTCATCTAAAGGTAAAGGTAAAGGGACCCCTGACCATTAGGTCCAGTCGTGGCCAACTCTGGGGTTGCGGCGCTCATCTCACTTTATTGGCCAAGGGAGCCGGCGTACAGCTTCCGGGTCATGTGGCTAGCATGACTAAGCTGCTTCTGGAGAACCAGAGCAGTGCACGGAAACGCCGTTTACCTTCCCGCCTCATATTAAAGGTAAAGGTAAAGGGACCCCTGACCATTAGGTCCAGTTGTGACTGACTCTGGGGTTGTGGCGCTCATCTTGCTTTATTGGCCGAAGGAGCCGGCGTACAGCTTCTGGGTCATGTGGCTAGCATGACTAAGCTGCTTCTGGAGAACCAGAGCAGCACACGGAAACACCGTTTACCTTCCTGCCAGAGTGGTACCTATTTATCTACTTGCACTTTGACATGCTTTGGAACTGCTAGGTTGGCAGGAGGTGGGGCCGAGCAATGGGAGCTCACCCCAGCATGGGGATTCGAACCACCGACCTTCTGATCAGCAAGTCCTAGGCTCTGTGATTTAACACCACCCGTGTCCCTTAACAAGTCATCTAGAGGAGCCCAAACTTGTTCCCCTGAATCTCATGTGTCTGATGTGTTATGTCTATTTGTGTCATTTGGAACAGTGATGACTCGTTCATATATGCAACTCATTACTAAATTAATGAGCAACATGCACATGAGAACCAGGCAACATACAAAAAGCTGTTAATAACCAAGTGCCTTCCATTGTGGCGGTATAATTTCAATACATGATTACAGTGCTGAGCATTTTTATCCCACTATTTATTTATATTTTTATCTTCCCTATAAGAAGCTCAAAGCATTGTGCCTGCTTCAGTCTTCTTTTCCCTCCCTCCATTTTATCCTTACAATAATCTTGTGAGCTAGGCTAGGCTAAGAAAGAGTGATTGGCCCAAGGTCACCCAGCAAGCTTCATGGCTGAGTGGGGATTTGATCTCAACCCTGGTCTCCTTACTGCTAGGCTGTCACTCTAACCACTACATTGCATTGACTCTCTTGGCAATAGCATAGTATACAATCCATAGGAGGATTAAAGTGCTCTCTTAGCTGAGAAATAAGAAAATACTGGCAACTGCCCATATTGGCTAGAATCACGTTAATTTTAAGAATTCCCAGATGGTGCAAGAATGCACAGCCCATGCTGTTTTGTTGCTTCCCCCATCAGTCATGTGATTAGATGAGGGATCAGGGTGGCCTGTAGGGACTGGCAATGCTGTTGTGGCCCACTGAACTCTTAAAATTAACCATGTGCAGAGATGCTTCAGTAACACGGAAATTCATAAAGGCATAGTGGCATATGGTGCATTGCACACAATGACTGAAAATGAGCAACAGGAAAGCAGAGATATGGAACTGCATGGG